CTTGACATTATTATCCAGTGTCCCTCCACTACTATACAGCTTATAAACTTCATTATTGTGCCTCAGTTATTGATATCAATGGACAAATATTATTAGCACAACCATGCTATCATGACCCATAATCAGAGTCACTAACCTTTAAGAGTTTCACAGCAAATTAATTGTACATTTGGATTTGAAAAAGTAGATTTCAACCAGATGTTCAGAAAAAGGTCATAAGAGGGAATTAAACAAATCCTCTGTGGGCCTTAGTTCTCAGCACCGGCCAACATTTATCTTCTGAAAGCTGGTTTCGTTTTGCCAACTGTTTAACGGTGAAGAAATGGCGCATTTCCTCACGTCACACAAGCCTCTGCTCTTGAGGTATGTAGTCATCTCATATAGACAACTGGCATGGGTTGGTCTGAAAGAAGCAATGAGTCTTTTATTACCTGTCTGATGGTTTTGTTCAGACCATCCAGCACATGAAGAGGTTGGTGAAATCAGTGATAACAGCCAGTTTCTTGAGAGGAACCAGTGGTGATTGTTAACATATATACCTAATTTCCATGCTTCATATTTTGCACTTGTCTGGATCATCTACCTTGAACGCTTTTGAAAGCATTCATTAGAAAGTTTCATGTAATTCCTTTGAGTCTATTTCCTATTTCAGATCGACGGCAAAATAGCGGGCTGTGTTACCTCCAGAGAATGTGCAGTGTGTAGCTCGGTACGTCATGAATGTTAGCAGCAAGGTTGTATGGTTTCTCCATTTAAGATACATGAGGTATGTAGTTACTGGAGGATCAGGTACAGATGAACCCTGGGACCATCACGTATGACGAGGCTGACGTCCTGCTTTGTGTATATTCAGTAGCTAAGGAAGAGATGCGTGGCTGACAGTGTTGCTAGGAGACCACACACAGCGACTAGTGTGAGAGGCTTGATTTCACCTCCCTCCCCCATTCTTGTAGACTGGCTGCCTTTCACTGTGTTTCTGTCCTCTCCTCCTCGCACTTGCCTCCATTTGCTTATTCCCTCCACTCTCCTACTCCCTTCCTCGATATTCCCTTCCATCAGTCAGTCTCTAGTTTTCCGCCTAATCATATTTATCGTCAGACCGGTTGATCCCTCGGTGACTCTCCATTTATTGGCTTCCCCCATTTTTCACCGTCCCCCCCCTCCCGTCTCTCTCTCCCACTGCCTCGATCTCTCCTCCTCTCTAGCTGCGTGCCTCTCAAGCTGCTCATTCTTCTCCTGAACGTTTTGCTCCGTTCTCTTGCACCGCTTCCTCTCTGCCTCTCTTGTCCTCTCTCCCCGTTTCTTTCTCTGGCTGAACTGCAGCACTGTGTCTGGACGGAGTGCGCTGACTGTTGTGTGCAGTGTGGCTGCGGGGTCAAGTTATGGTACTATAAAGCAGTGGGCAGAAACATACTGTGGTGCTGGGGAGGAACTGAATAAACTCAAGCAAACTGTATCTTGTATTTTGAAAAATACCTAACCTACAACATTGATAAAATGAAACGTAAACATGTGTGGACATAGAAAATTCTTCTGTTTTTCCTTTCCTACATGCTGTCATAAGTTACAATGTTTAATTGTGCTTATTTGCTGTTTAATTCAGCCTCAAAGGGGATACAAATCCGAACATCCTGTTACATATGAGAACATGTCAGTCCGGGGACTGAATGTGCAGAAGAAGATGATGTGTATAATGAACAACATGTTCTATCTGCCCTCTCTGTCTAATTGCTTCTGTTCAAGCAGCTTTGCAAAGACAAACATATCTTAGGAATGCTTTCACTGTAATCATAAAACGAGGCATGTTGTGTATTTGTTACAATCTTGTCTCAAATCACAGTTTTTGAGGATGTCTGTAAAAAAACAAAAACAAAGGTATGATATACTCCAGAGTAATTAAAAGTGTGTTTTAAATATGTCTTGTTGAAATATTGACCCAATGTCAAGGCCAGGCCAGCGCTGTGATGTGTCCCTCCACTCTGCAGCGTTACTGCCACACTCACAGAGAGGTGCAGCAACACCACAGTACCACTTGCTGAGGTGCAGGCTGAATGGCAGCGGGCTGCGGCACAAAGCCTTCCAGAAGTGTTAAATAAAAGACGAT